CGCGGCCGGGGCTGCCCCGGGGGGGTTATCAGCAGCGTTTTGCTTTCTCATCCTCGGGGTGAGGCGCTCCGGGTGCCTGGAGCAAGGGTCTGCTAGAGGCTTTATTGCTCTTATGTCGTCGGGTTTTCCAAAAGGAGCAGCTGCTCGTAACTCTGTTTCTGACTTGCCCGTACCTCCACGTTGCCTTGGAGTGGCATTCCCGAGCCGGTGTGTCTGAGGCACCGGAGGAGGGATGCCAGAAAAACCCAAGCTCCGGGCGGGTTTAAAGCTCGAAGTGCTCCAGGGAGCGCAGCCAGTTCAGCTCAGCCCGGAGCGTGAGGCTCAGCTGCTGTTGCAGACCGCGGGCGAACCGATCCCTTCCGTAGCTAAAAGCGTCAAATGAAAACCATCGGGTTTCGGTCCGATAAGCATCACCCCGCAGTGCATGAAACCCGAGCATTGCAGCGCTGTCAACCAGAAAGTTACACTGACCACAAGTGAACCGAGAGGAAATAAACTCGTTTTATGGCCCATAGGTGACAAGTCAAGAGAATGACAACTGGTTTGCATTCCTAAAAATTCTGTTGCTTTAAGCTGTCATAAGGAATATCAAAAAGATCATTCTGTCAACATCACAGAATGGAGTTGGCAGAGTCGTATTAAAATAAATGTTTGTTTTAGTGTTGTGAATGTGTTTGAGAACCCAGGGGTTTGTCAGTGATCACAGTGATAGTGTTTTTCTTTGGCACTAGAAGGTGTGCAGACCTCTATGTGACAGAGGATTTAAGCAGTGATTTTTGAAATTGGTTTATTTGCCAAAGACAAACAAAGCTCTCTAGGCTGCATGGGTTGTGAGCCTGGCTCTCGGGAAGTACTGATCATTGGCATAGTCCTTGCACCTGCAAATAAACAACTTGAGTGTAGGGCTGTGATTTTACCTTCAGGCACGTTTTTATTATGTTCACAGTGCTTTAGCCCTGAGCAAGAGTTAGAAGGCAACCATCACTACAGAGTGCTGCATGTGTACCACTCATTCACTGCTGCTCCCCTCTTTTCAGTGTTTATTCATCAAGTATATCTTGGGACTCGGGTCTTGTTTTCCAGCTTAAAATCTGAAACTGGAAACTGGATGCTGTGACACTTTTTTGGTTCTTTCACCTCTTTTTGCCATAGGAAAACTCATGCTAGCAAACAGGCAGTGGCAGCACTTGAAGTGTGTTTTGCTGGGAAGGCTCTTAGGTCTGGAGCTTGCTGTTGTGTTCAGTATTGCATAATCCTGCTGGAGAAAGTGACAGCTGGACAGAGGGACACCCCTTTCATCCTGCCTTGGCCAGCCCACACCCCTCAGTGAGGCTTTAGCACACAGCAGAGCATTCCAAGCAGTTTGCACCCCTCTGTGACAACTGGGCTCATGTCTGGATATAAGCAATAGGACAGTGGATGTGTCTGGAGAGGCTCAGGTGAGCTGAGAGATTCAGACAATTGACAATACTGTAATTGAATATTGAATTCATTGAATTGAATTGAATTGAATATAATAAAAAAATTGACATTTATTTGCAGTGCTGTAAGAATTTCCAAGTTAGAGCATTCATTTTAGATAACTCTTTAGATGTGTGGTTGACCTTAAGGTGCTTATGCAATATGGATCACAGAATGGGGAAAAAATCATGATGTTTGTAAGGTTTGATTCTTCTTAGGAGTGGACCTGACACTGTGTGGTCAAGTTCTCTTTGATGACTACTCACTCCTGCAAAATTGAAATGTCAGTCTTACTCACAAAAGTCAGTAACAGTCTTGTGAAAACCATCGGTGCCAAATTCAATATTAATGAAAATGAAACAAAACAAAACACTTCTAGAAGTCTTTATCCTTACAGGAAGTAAAACACACAAGTTGTCAGCCCAGCATAGACACTCCATCCCTCCCCAGGACATCCAGAGGATCTTGCTGTCCAAATTGGCCCCACTGAGTTTCTGTTCAGTCTCAGCTCCCTCTGAACTCAGATAAAGCTGTGGGGTCTTACCTCACTGTAGGATCCAACCCTACAAAAGGAATCTGGTGAGAGTGATGGAGTGTGCTGGGATGTGGCTGACAGAGCTTGCTCCTGCCACTGGAGGAGGAGGACCTGCTTGAGAGCAGGAGCTGTTGGGAAGCAGCATCTCAGTTGACACTAAAAGTCTTTATTCTTGCCTTCAAATGGATTGTCTTTTAACCTTTTTTCCTTCTTTAAAGGAGTCTCTCTCATTTGGAGGTGCTGCTGTGACACAGTGTAGTTCCATCCCAGCAGTCTCTCCGTGCTTCTTTTCACACTAGAACAGTTTACACTTTTCCTTGGGAAGCTGAGAGATTGCCAGTCTTCCCATAAAATCTATAAATTTGATCTTGTTTTAATTTTCAAGGAAAGTCCCATTTATGTTATCTTAATGACATATTATTATTTGTTTCATCTGAGTAACTTTGCAGTAAGTGCCATGCACCCAAAATTAACCAGTAAGATTGTTGCTGTCAAATACAAATAACTAGAGAATAAGCAGCTGAGGGTCAGAAGGGATTTGAGGATGGCTGGATGTGATGAATTCCTTGTAGATCCAAGCATTCAGAGGTGTTTAAGGAAGAGATGATGCAAAGCACTCCAATATTGTGTGTATCCCAGGGTCTGGGAGGCAGGTAGCTGCTGATGCAAGAGGGTTGAAACTTTTCCATCCTTGCTGAGGGTGTTGTGTGAGGGGCATGAGGGGGCTGTGACAAGCTCTTGGTGAAAACTTTGCATGCCACAACTTTTGAAAGAGTGGCACTGATGGGATCTCGTTAAATCATGCAGAGATGCACGTCTGTCTGCAGAGGGGTCCGGATCCTGTGTGGATCTCACTGCTGTAATGAACACACAAAGGAGGCTCCAGGGTCCTGTGTGGATCTCCCTGCTGTAATGTGCACATAAAGGAGGATCCTCTGGGGATCTCACTGTTGGAATGTGCACATAAATGAGGATCCAGGATCCTGTGGATCTCACTGTTGGAATGTGCACATAAAGGAGGCTTTGGTTGCCATTGGGTCCTCTGGAATAATTCTGTTTGAGGAAGTCATTCAAGGAGAGCTCATAAATAGGATCAGGCCCTGCCAAGCCCTAGGGACAGAGGTGCAGTGGAGAAAGGGAGTAATTCTTGATGGAAATTTTAGCATTCAGCTTTCACTGGCATTAATTAAGAGAAAGTGTTGTGAGATACTTTCCTTGTGATTCTTCCTTCTTTGTTCTGCACAAGTGAATTTATCCAAGCCTGTCCTTGGGGATTTGGTCCCTAAAGAAACCAGCTCTGTTTCCTTCCCCATCTGAAAACATTTGCTCTCTAGTAGCTCTACTAGACAAAAGATTTATCTTTTGTCACTCATGATGTTCCCCTTTGCTGGGTCACCAGGGTTCATGGTGTTCTTGGCAATATGGCAATGTCTTAGTGGTCCTACTTGGTAAGAAAAAAATGTTTTTCCCCATGAAAAATTTCATGTCTGTAAAGCTAAACTCTAGCTGAACATTTTCAGTATAAAGTAAAATAAAATAAAATAACCTGAGATTCTGAGATATTTAATTTGGAAGTGTCTCTTGGGGGTTGCAGGTCAGGCTACAGCCTATCCCTGTTTTTTTCTGAGCTCATGTCACTGTAGGTACAGCTGATGTTCCCATGATGTTCTGTAT